TGGGGGGGGGGGGGGGCAAAATAGGTTGGACGGAAGAGAAGGCGGATGGATGAAGGGCTAGTACGTACTACACCATCCGAGGGGGCACCGAGAGCATGACGGCGACGGCGCGACGTTCCGACGCTGACGCACAACAAATGACCGAAGATAGCGCACACCTGCTTGCTCACCGTCAAACTCTTCCCCTTTGCAGTTCCACTGTACTGGAGGTACTTGGGGCTCGCGAGACCGCTGTCGAGCGTTCTCGGGGCCACGCCGCTCAAGCGCGGCCGTCTTCGCGCTGCCTGGGACTTGGTTACCCCCTTACCGCTTGGTACACGGCTATCCCCCGATGCTCCGGAGCTTGCTGCTCCTGTTCCCGACGATGCTTCTGCTGCTGTGGCTGATCCCCCTGATGCCCTCGCCTGTGAGGAGGCGTTGTGCTTTCTTGCCGCAGCCGCCGCAAGCTTTACCATAGCGTCGATATCAACATCTTCCTCCTCCTCCTCCTCTTCCTCTTCCTCCTCCTCTTCCTCTTCCTCCTCCTCTTCCTCTTCCTCTTCCTCCTCCTCGTGCTGCTTCTTCTCCCCGTGCCCCTTTTCCTCTTCCCGCGCCCGCTCCTCGTGCCCCTCGCCAACATCTGTGTCTTCTCCGCCCCCTCCCCCTTCTTCGACGTCGTCCAGATCAGTCTCGTCCTCGTCTACTTCGCGGTTCGCCTCAGACTCCGTCTCTTCGTCGTCATCTACGTCGGCCGTTTTCCCTGCGCTCCCCCCTCGTGCCTTCTCCTCCTCCTCCTCCTTTTCTCTCTCCTGGTCCGGTTGGTCTGAAACTTCCGGCGTCGAGGAACTAGGGGTGACACCGGCATCATTCTCGGAGGGATGCCCCCTTGTTAATCGCCGCCGCATGGTCACCTTGTACCGAGGATGGGGGGGGGGGGGGGAAACGGCACGCAGGTAAGACAGGACGTCGTGTGCAGGCAGACAAACGGGCTGGAGGCACAGAGCATGGTTTTAAGCATGTTGGGTATTATGGACGGGGTATGTGCGCGCACGTGCTGTGCAAAATACAACTGCGGGAAACGAGGCGTTGCATGGGCCGTGAGAGAGCAAGCCACGTAGCATGTTTTGTAGACAAGGGGAGGGGGAGGTGAGGAGAAAGACGATTCAAGCCCTGTCTCCAAACTGTTGTCATCTATCGCAGGTCGAGGGCAGAACAAACCACACACACACACATGCACATCAGGAATGCTACACGCGATGGTGCTGTCTCTCCTTGCGCAGACCCTTCGAATCCAGAGCCTGAGCGCTGTCGTTCAACCTCCTCCCCGCCCACGAGCCCGTTGACAATAACAAGGCGTGTTCGCGTTTTGGGTCCCACTTTGAGGCATGTCATTTCATTGTTCAGGCGGTAATTACACACACACAGGTAGACAGCAGGGCACAGGGGCAACATTCAACCAGAAATCACAAGCTCATTTTTCGGGAGCCGCTCAGACATTCCAACGCGTGGACACAACAACCACTGCATGGGTGTACCTACAGGAGCCATGCATCTATACGCAATTTTGTGTCCGGCAGAAGAAAGGACACCTCGTTTCTGTACATACAAACAGCAGTGTGGTGTTGTGGTGTTGTCTATTTTGGACACACTAAAGCCACCACCGAACGTGCACCGAATGGATGCCATCAGGTTTGCCTTGTTGCCACCTTCACCCCAGACACAGGAGCAGTCACAGCCAAGGGCGGATGCGAGATTTCATGGGATGGACATGAGAGCAGCGGCAAGTCCAGAGCGGGAAAAACTCAAAACCTCCACCTGAAACCGACGCAAGTCGTACGTACCTGCCTCGACTGATTTTACCCTGCAAGCATCAGCAATCGCACGGGTAGGTGGGTATCTAACAAGAGATTCGTTCGCTCCTGCCGGATTTGCTCGAGGGGCGATAGAGCTGGCCAGGGTTGAGAGAAAGACCTACCGGTACACAGTCTGCTGCTGGGTTGTTCCCGCTCACCGTTTTCTCGTCCGCGGCGGAAGCAGCCGACGCGGTCGACGGATGTCTCGGCGGTAACGCCCCCGCCGCTTTCCCTCTCGACGACGATTTGTCCCCGGCAACACCTACTGCCGCCGCCGCCGCCGCCGTGGATTCGGAGGAATTTTTCTTGGACGGGGATGGTGCCTGAGGCTTGATTGGGCTTGGATTTGCCGAAGGGGGAGGCGAAGGCGGGGGGGCTTCCATCTCTTTTATTTCCGCCCATCGGAAGCTCTTGATGCCGTCCACCCCGGGGAGCTGGACCTTGTACCAGCCCTGCTTCTTGTCTACCACAGAACCTGGTTGGCGGGGATCAGGGGGACACGCAAAATACAACAATATTCGCGACAGGGTTTACACTACATCATAGTCTGTTTCGGGGAGGTCGAGGGGCGCCAGCGTCCTCGCGCTACGTACATGTTGATATCATGGGTGTGGCGAACAACATCGTTTGACAACGATGGCGTGATACTATACGCTGGGCGTGGGGAAACGAAAGACGCTCATATTCGGGGGGGGGGAGGGGGGTGGAGTCAGCGGTTGTTTTCGGTGCGCACTCCTGCCTCCCGTGCGCACGCGGTGCTTGACGTCGGTGTTGTGGACCGAGTCTCAGCGCTCGATTGCTCCACAGGAAAATCATTACCCCGTGCCGAAAAGGCCGGCGTTAGAACGGGCGCATCGAGAGCTTTCCGAGTACTTCTATCGTTTGTCATTGACTCCCCCTTGGTACTCTCGGTGGTGGATCAACCGAGCTGTGTCGGCCAACGTGGGACCGGCAAACACTGGGCGTCAATGCAGGTAATCACCCTGAAGGAAGCGGAGCGATATATGCACTTGACTATTCTTTTGGTATAGATTGGGGCTGTTTCTTCGCGATAAGCGCCTCACGTGTAGCTTAGACCAGGCGACAACTGGTCTCCCTCACGAGAATATCCCCTATATCGAGCAGCCAGCATACATCCGTCCCTGCTCTCAGCAGCATGACCTGCAGCAACCATCAACTACATGCAACAGCAGTGGGGAGCGTCGGGGAGACAGAGACAGCATCGCCAGCACAAATCAACAGTGACACACAAGTCGTGAGCAGCATCATATCGGCAAGGAGGTATACTGATCTCGTTGGGCGATAAGACGCACACCTCCACTTCCGCTGCACGTGCAGTACTGCTGAACAACTACCCCGCGTCTGTGTCTGTCTGGGAAGGCCAACAATATCAGCTTTACTGCTGTCTGCCCTTGCCCGCTTTCACCTCGTTGTCCAAGGAGTTCTCCATCTCTCTTCACCACGACAGTGGCTCCCAGGTCAATGCTCGACGAACGCGCTTTAGGCTTGTCTTCCATAGCGATACGGCGGCTGTACCCGCAAAGCCAGCAAGTACCACGTGCCTGTGTGCGGTGCGTGGTGTGTGGTGGTGACGAACACACCGCGGTCTTCGTAGATTGTTCGTAGATGCGGCGCAATTACAAACATCGCCATCAGTGCTGTCCGCCCAACGCCGTGGAGAACAGCCCAGCAGCTACCGCGTGCATCGCTCACACAGGAACACGGCGCCTATGCTGATACTTGCAAGAACATTCCGCCTCAGTTTGCTGGCCTTTCGAAATAGCGAGATCTCGAAGACCGCTTCGTCGGCGCTGCTACGCCCCACGCCCTCAACAGCGGTCACCCTCGCACCTCCGTGTGGTATCTCGCACAGCAGCTGCCGCAGCACTTATACAACAAGGCTCAGCATGTCAGATGACACTGGCGGTGGACGTGTGATCCGGCCGCGTGTCCCTGTGAGCTCGGTCACGGCATTCGGGCAGGGCCTGGGGCAAGAAGAACTCCAGGTGGGGGAATATCAAGGCTGGGAATGACACTCCCTTCATAGCTGTTGACTGCTGTTGAGCTCTTGTACAGGTGCACAGCGTAGTCTACAGCCGGGTGGGTACGCGCTCGGCAAATATAGCAAGTTGTGCGACTTCAGGGTCATGGTTTCATTGTGTACGTGGTCGAGCGGCGCCTACAGCGGCAGGCCAGGGTTGAACGATCAGGACTGCTGTTGGTGTAGTCTGCGTCCCTAATTCCATGCTCAGAAACGTCCCCAAACGCTTGCGCTCGGCGGTGTTCCTCGGATATCGTGCGTCCTGAGACGCACGTCCATACCGAGAGGCGTGTTGAATGAAAATCGAGGGAGCGGGGGCCGGGGGGCACTTGTGTTGATCTCTTTCTGCAAGGCTTATCGCACGCGGGAGTCCTTGACATACGTGTAGTTGCTTTTGTACCTGCTGTCTGATGCGTATATTAGCTCGTCCCTCTGCAATGGTTGGAGTGTTTCACTGCAACACTCACACAGGCGCAACCCCTTACCTGGCACAAACATATCCGTTGAAACGTCTGTATGAAAAAAAAATGATAAACGCAGCGTTCGGATCCCAGCAGCCCGGTTTCTCTTTGTCTGCTACGCGGTCGGGGGAAGTATCAAAATGTTGAGCCGGGGCACGCCCGGGTGTATGGGGAGGAAGGGCACACGGTTGCGTGCGGGACGAGGAACGACAGCATACCCGATTGTGGTCACCGTTGCTATCCCCTTTCCGGCCAAAAACAGTTTCGATCGCCGGTGCGGCTGGAATGGCTGTCTGCTAGTTGTTGTTCGTAGTCTTGGAAGTTTTATTGGTTTTGTCCATCCCATCCCGACATTGCAACTTTCATTTGGCGTGTGACGACAAACTATCGACAAACTAACGGCTGGTGCAAACGTCCCGTTGTCGTTTCCGCTTTTTTTTTTATTTGTTGGGTACATCGCCGCTCGATATTGCACAAAGTCCCTCGGCAAGGAGATGGAAGCGTCAAACGAGGGTGAGCGGCTCGTGTTTCCCTTCGTGGGCAAGCTGTATGACGTCTCCAACGCCGCTCTGTTCTACGCGCACAACGGGCGCCTGGACGCAGCTCAGGAGCAGCTGAAAGGTCAGTGAGAAACCTCGTAACCGTTGGCGGTTCGAATTTTTTTTCGCTTCCAACAGACCCCCCATGGTAGGCACGATGCCATCCTTATCCCCTTGGGTTTTAATGTCTGGCTCCACCTCGACTTCTTGCCCCCCCCCCCCCCCCCCATTTCGTACTCTCCAAGGGTACCCCGTCCCCCTCTTCTTGTCTCTCGATTTGTTTTGGAAGCTGGCGCGGACCTGATGGCATCGGAGCTGGAGGGCGTTGACAAGGCCTGCTCGAAGGACGGGGTTCGCAACGAGAGGGTTTCCGGAGCGCTCGAAAACCTCGTCAAGGCCAAGGCCTTCGTCTACTTCCTGCAGACAGGTTGGACGGCCGTAGTTTTTTTTTTTTAGACTTTGAAGGCTGCGCAGCAGCAGCAGCAGCAAAACAACAACAACGGTAGCACCAGTAGTAGCAGCAGCAGCAGCAACAACAACAACGGGAGCACCAGTAGTAGCAGAAGCAGCCTCAGCACGTGTTTTCGAGGAAAGAGGGCCTTGAAATATCTACTCCGTGGTATCCCCGAATGTGTTCGAGTCTAGGTTGCGTACAGTGGGAGACCCAGGAATTTTTGTTGTCGGCAAAAATTGTGTTGATTTGCCAAGGCGTGCCCGGGCAAGGACCGCCCATGAAACCCGGGGTTGGTTGACACGACAGCACTTGTTGCAGATAATACAGACAACCGAGGTTGCCCCATTCTACAAGCCGTAGCATGTTGCAGCCCCCCATCCCGTCCTGCACGTCCTTCCAGGCAACCGCCGATACATCTGATGAAGAAGACAATATTTGAGCGAGAGGTCCTCCACAGCGTAAGCTTGTTCATTTTTTTCGGGTGCAATTTTTTCCAGCGGAGAGATAGTCATCGACAAATTTTTCGGGTCAAGTCGATTGGGCATGAAGGACAGAATAGCTAACAGCATTCCACTCCCCGATGGGTTGGGCTTCTCTCCGTGTGCGCGAGCTTGTAGGTATGTACATACTGCGAACTTCGATCGTCGCGGCAGGGATTCGAACTCCAGACCCCGACCATCGGAAGGTGACAAACCTTGCCTTCGTACTGCGGAATTGGCCCGCGCACACATGCGCGGTGTATCTTTACTTTCGCACGTCGGGGATGGTTGTTCGTGCTTCTCACGTCCTCCCCAGGGCGGCTACTGCGTAAGTCTGCGCTTGAAGAGGAGGTCGCCGATGACGAGTACCTGGGAGCGGCCATGAGACTCACCTCTGAGCTCTCACGATACGCAATCACTCAGGTGAAGATAGCGATGCTACGTGTTTGGTGTAACCTATGGCCGGGGAATGAGTTTTGTCTACGTCCAGGTGAAGATGGTACGCAGCCGATGTCTGGTTAAGATGGTACGCAGCCGATGTCTGCGATTGATGCTGTTTTTGCCAACACTCGAGAGAGAGGTGGAGGAAAATTCGCAGGGGCAACACGAACACACGAACACTCACTCACGACCTTCGGAAGCGCTTTCTGTAGTCAACCGCACTGAGACTGGCGTCTTCTCATTGGTCAGCCGATTTTAACACGGTCGAATCTAATGCAAAAGACGCACACGCACACCCACGCAGGCCTCCATCCTGGACCGCAGCTCTATCCTGGCCTGCGCCTCGCTGTGCCGCGGCGTGTTCGGAGAGCTGGTGCAGTTCGACCTCCGCAACGGCCCGCTCCGTAGGAAGTTCGACGGCGTCAAGTACGACGTCCGCAAGGTGGACGACATCCTGTACGAGCTGGCGCTGGTGGGGACAGGAGCGGACGAGGGAGACGGCAATGCCGATGAGGACGGCGGCGGGGGCAGCCGAAAACGGAAAGAGAGGGAGGAGGAAGAGGAGGAGCAGAAGAAGGCAGAAGGGGGGCCCGTTTTGGACACCGAAGAGTTCGAGTCCATCCGCGTGGCCATGACATATTTCGACGAGAAGAGGTAAACGCGGGGGGAAGGGGTTAGAAGTACTTCGAAGACAGAGAACCGGGGATGGGAGGCGGGTGATTTTTGTGGTTGACCTCCCGAGTTTGGAATAGATGGGCGGGGGCAAGGCGAGTGGAGCGGGCGGGAGACCATTTCAGCGTCGGTGATTTTGGTGCTTTCGTTGGGGTTTTGGAGCGCAAGTAGGCCCGAACAACTAGCGGAGAAGAGCGGAAGCATGCGATGGTGGGAATTGCGCTTCCGTGGCGGTGGACACGGGTATGTAAACCCCATCGCCGCATGCAGTAGGTTAGTTTTCGGCGTTTTGTACCTCTGCTTTTCTGTTTTTGCCTGTTCGCCTCGTGTCCTATCGTGTTCTGCTGCCTCACCTTCTCCTCCACCGCCCCCGCCTGCGTCAACCGTGGCCGCAATCCCCCCCACACACTCGCGCGCACACATGCGTCATGCGCCCGCTCGATGCGTACTTCCTTTTTTTGTGAACACACAGGGAGGCCGTCATCAAGCGGACACGAGACATTCAAAAGTGGAGCAAGATGGCCATCTACAGCCTCCACCGGTGAGCGAGCAAGCGGGCGTACGTAGCGGATGAAGTTGGTTTTTACGCCGGGAGATGGCCGCTGCTTTTCTTTGCGAGGCCACGAGGCTTTACGGGAGGCGCGGACAAGGGGGGGGAGAGGTATTTCCCAGCCCAACAGATGACGCAGACCTGCGAGCGCACGTAGCGAAGATAGTTGGTGTTTGCGCCGGGAGATGGCCCCTGTGCTTTTCTTGCGAGAACACGAGGCGTTATTGAAAAGATGGGGGGAAGGTAGGTCCCGGCTAACCAGAAGACGCAGACCTCCGAGCGTGTACACAAAGAACGTAGTTGGTGTTTCGCCGGGAGATGGCCCCTGCTTTTTCTTGCGAGGACACGAGGGGTTATTGAAGGCGGGCAAAGGGGTGGGAGAGAGGTGTTTTCCGACCCCAACGATGACGCAGATCTCCGAGGTCTATATGCGTCAGCGAGGAGGGCCATCGAGACTGACGTGCCCAGCCTGTTGCTTTGTGACTACGGGAAACGAGCAGCTCGGAGAGTAGATTCCACCAAACGACCCTTTGGAACCCACGTCATGAGAAGATAAACAGCGTGTTCCTTGGAATGTTCAAAAGTTTGGTTGATCCCTAAGGGGTCCACCTGGGCACACCGGGTACAGTCGCAATAGTCGCCAAGCACTCAACCGTTGTCCTCCTAGAAGCGCCTGTCGCATGGCGTTCAAGTGCTCTTTCCTGTACTCTCCGGGCTGAGTTTGAGCGCAAGCTTGAACCTGTGCATAACGAAAGCTAGACTTGGGTCCCTAGAGGGCCCGAGGGATTGTCGCGGTTTACTTGGGGAGGACTAGGGGCTGTCTGTGTTCGACGTTATTCACGGATGACCAGAAAGTCTTTTCATCCCGAGGTGGACATCAGCTTTCAAGAACCGTGTGGCCTTGCTGCTTTGTGTTGGGCGGCGATGCCCTCTCGCTTCATGCGTGTGTACGTTTTTGGTTGGGGGGTCTAGGCAAAAGCGACGGCGGCACTGTTGTTTATTTCACCGCTCCTGCTTTGCTACCGCTACGTATGTTTGCCGGCGTGTTTAACGATAGACTAAACCACACACTTTGCCGTAGACAAGCAAGATATATGTTGCACTTGTTTTTGCCACTGACTGCTCGCTGTAATTTTTGCTTAAATTGTGTGTGTGTGTGTGTTTCCCGATGCTTGACGTCCCCCATGCCTTCTCTTGCTGTCACGTGCGCAACCCTAACCCCCTTGACCCTATCCCAGGGCTGACTTGAAGAAGGCGGAGAAGCAGATTTCGGACTGTCGGACGGCCGCGGAGGGTCTCCTTCCCCTCATCGACGAGACACCCCGGCTAAGGATGGGGGCCTACTCGTGCTCGATGGAGGTGTGACTGAATCACGCGTGCGACGCGGACACGAACATCCGCGACAATAGAGCGCGCGTGTTACAGATTGAGAAGTGTTTTTTTTTTCATCATGGTGGTTCTTTGGCGTCGGCGGTGGTGGTACGTTGCCGCATAGCCACCGACCTCCCGGCCCCCAGCAATACCTACAGCAGTTTTGTTCGTGATCGCTTCGGGGTTATAGCACGTAAAGCACGCCGCTTTTCGTGTCGTGGCGAGCCAAGCATCCTAAGGAACTTCGGGAAAAGTGACCACAGCCGTCACCAGGAAACACGAAAGCCGTAGAGCAGTACCAGTTCTGTTCATTTATTTCTCACGCTGTGTTTCGCGTGTGTACAATTCTGAGCTTGTCGAGCTCTCTGCCGGGGCCCTCTTCCCTGCTATCCCCTGCTATGCGTACACACGCTTGTAGGAATTCGCGGAAGCCCGCCTGTACGAGCTGTGGCTAAAGGAGAAGAGGTTGGCAACGAGGGCCGAGGTCGGCCTAGTCAACACGGAAGAGGTGGGTGACCCTCCGTACGACGGAGTTTTGTGGTCTACAATACCGGTCTCGGGACGCAGCGATTGAAACGGAGTAACGTTGACGTTTTGTTTTTGCATCAAACGTCGTCCACCAAGAAGCGTGCACAGAAGGGATGGGAAGGGAGGAAGAGGGCCTCTTTCTTGCGTTGTCTTCCTGGGTTTGTAGCCTGTGCGAAATGTGTTCGCTTTTCGAAAAGAGGTCGTCCACTATGGGTACCGGAAGAGGCGGAGAGATGGCACCCCCCCTGGACCGATAAGCTCGATTACTCCACAACCAAGAGTGTCTGTACCGTACCGTATACCGTATCGTGGTATTCCGGAAGAGGCCGAGAGATGGCATCCCCCCTAGACCGATTTTCAAAATGCCCGATTGTTTCACAACCAAGTAGGTGCTGAACGAGCTCGGTATGTCTATGGAAAGCCATGGACGAGATGCTTCCAAAACTGCCATTTTTGGTGGTGTCACAATCTTGGTTGTGAAGCAATCGAACTTTGAAAATTGGCCCAGGGGGGGGTGCCATCTCTGCGCCTCTTACGGTACCTTACCTTGACACTTTCGGAGGTGCACAGTGAATTGAATGATGGCGAGAACCCCTGCCTTCGCCCTGCCTTGGTAAGCACAGAGTGCGATCACTGCAGCGGTGCCAAGTTACGGTCTTTCGCCGGACTGCGAAGTAGTATGTCCACTCAGCCAGCACCTGCGGGTATATGTTGCCGACACGCTTGCACCGCGGATGCTTGCCTTCGTGCCCTCTCTCACGAACCTGTTCTGGACCTCTCTGCTCCCGCGCGGCTCCAGTGGAATGAAACGGCCATGAAATACGGGGAGAGTTGCTCGATCTCACGAGTGAACGCATCTAGATGGTGTAGCTTGCTGTTGAGGTATGTACGCACGTGGCATCCGACAATTCGCACCTTCCTCACACCTGAAACTCCCTTCACCCACACTAGGGTCGACCCAACGTAAATCAATCGTGGTTCCGGCCGTGCACAGGGCATATTGCACTCCAAGAACGCGCACGGGCATTTTCGCTCCATTTCATTTCCAACCTACCTAATTCACTTTGGTGCCTACCCCTCCTCGTTTTCGCATTTCATGGTGCCCGTTGAAATCGACGGCAATGACCAGTACTTGGGCGGCCTGCTGGACCTCACGGGCGAGCTTAACCGGTTTGCCGTGGCGCGTGCGACGGAGAGGGACTCGGTCGGGGTAAAGGAGTGCCTCGAGACAGTCTTGGTGGTGAGATCTTCCGCCGCCGCTGACGGTTGTTATGATCGTTGCGGTTTGTTGTGGAGGTCGCCGTCGTTTTCGGTGTGAAGAAAGTCGTCCTGACCGCGACCCCGTGCCTCGTTGTGCGGAGCGCGGTCTGAACGTTCTCGGCCCCATACGCGTGGGTGGATCGCTGTTCGTGGGTTTCCATGCCGACCTCCATTTTACGGTGGTATGGCTGGCTTGGGGGTTTTACCCACATGTGCAAAAGCAAACCACTTTGTGCGGCGAAAATGACCTGCTACAGTAGCTCACCAACCCTATTGCGCAAATCAGAATCGCCAGAGAAAAATGTGTTTAGCCGAAGATGATGAACGGTTTCATCGATTTGGAGGCTTCCCTCTTCACTTTTGTCAATTTGTTGTTGTTGTTGTTGTTGTCTTCACATTAAAAACCGTTCCGATCTCTCTCTTCCTAGTACCTTCGTATGTCCGTACTGATCCAACACTCGACGCGGTCTCAATGCTCATCCGCCGGTCCTTCGTAAGAGACACCCATGGGTCAGCCCGTCCGATGAAACCTCGCCATCTCGAGGCGCAGCCATTCTTGATGCACTCAGTTGTGAATATTCCAAAGAAACCTAACCGAATCTGTGACCCTTGCGCGGAAAATGAGGTCATCGAGACACATCACTTGTTGTTGGAAGCCGACAGACGAAGGACGCGAGTCGACAAAAAGAAAGTGTCTTGGAGGTGTTAAGTGCTGCCTTCCGCCGGCGATCACTCTTGCGGAATCGACTTCTGCTCTCTTGATGAATGAGTTTGTGTCGTGTCTCCGGTGCTAACACAGTCCATCGTTTCCTCCTGTTATAGTTTCTTTTTTTCCCTCATTCCTTGTCTTCGTCGCACGATCTTGCCCTACAGTACCTGGCTGTGTTGCTCGAGATGGAAACGTGTTGAGATCTCCCCCCGCCTGTTGCTGTGGCCTTTGCTGGCGCGAGATATTCATCCCTCGTTCCCTGTCTGCTTCTCGCAATCCCCCCCCCCCCAAACGCACGAACCAGATCCACGAGTTTGTGACGCTGAACGCCCTTCCAGGGAAGCTTCCCAAGAAGAAGAACGAGCTGTTAAACTCGCTCAGAAAGCTTCAGGTGCGTTTTTCTTGGTTGCGCATACATGAATTACGCGTCGTGGTCGTGTGTGTGCTCCTCTTGTGTCGGTTGCGTCGGCCGCGCTACACTCGGCTGAACAATGATAGGACGGCCATTACACATTCGAAAAACTGCCGATGGAGCGAGCGTGTCTCCTTGCTCGACTGATGCAATGCTTAAGGGTCTGGATGTATTGTATTGGTGTAGTGGACCGTTTCACCATCGGCCGTGTGTGCTAAATTGCGCGTTGGCAGCATGCTGCCTGGCGGCGCCTTCCGGTCTGCGGGTGTGTGCTTCCCCGTCGTCCTCCCTTCTCGCTCCGAAAGCCCTCGCGATACACACACTTGAACCCGATCGTTTCGGAAAATCGCATCCCTTTGCTCTTGTTTCTCTCTCCCCGTATCAAGCACGCACGTCATGACCTCTTTTTTCTTCTTATCAACAACGTGGGGGTGAGCGTAGATGCGATGCAGACCGCAGGGTCACACGCACGTGGCTGGCTCCTGGCTCTATTTGAATTGTGCTTGCCAAGTATTCAGTCCCTAGACCGGCTAGCTCATGGCTGCCAGGCAGTCTGTGGAGGTTTGTTTGGATCATGTCCTACGACCTTTGTCAACAGAGGGGAAAAGGAGGGACATGTTTTATAGAGAGCGAGTGTGCGAGAGTAACACCGACCACCCGAGCGCAACCGCAACCTGACAGGGTCATGAAAGACCCCGCACCGATGCAAGCCACTCCAGGCGACACATGCAACTGTCTCATGGTGAAGAGCCAACGATACACTAGTACATGGCACGTGCTTCAGACGAGGCCGGGGCGCCATGTACTAGTGTATCGTTGGCTCTTCACCATGAGACAGTTGCCGGGGGTATCACGGCTGCATTTAGAAAAGTCAGCTCGCACTATTACTCTAGCTTAAAAGGTGGCAAATACGAAACTCTCTCAACTACTGTGTAGACTACCAATCTACAACAAGTGTTTTACGTTGTTGGGCCGCACTAATCCTCCGTGACATACTTCTCGACGTACCTCGAACAACAAACTTGGGTCTGTTTCTCGCATCCGTCTTCCCTCGCAGAACATGACCTACGAGCTGGCCCTGATGAAGGCCGGGAAGGGAACGGTGTCGGGCGTGTCCGGCTTGGACGAAGGGCCCGCGACGGCCGACAAAGAAGGCTAGATATTCAAGAGACGCGATTAAGATACACGTGCGACGAATCTGTCTGATGTCGTTTTTAACTCGTGCGTGTGTAGTTTCTTTCGACCATGTCAGCTGTGGCTGCCGTCCTAGCGTGGGCCTCAAAGTAGGAGTTCGCACAAGGATCGGCGCCAGGGGGGAGGAGAGGGGTAAATCACTCTTCCGAAATCGAGGGTGCGAGGGGTTGGTAGACCCCGAAGAGGTTGGCGGTGCAAGAGTAGTAGAGCAGGCACGTTTTTACCTTGAGATAGAGGGTGCGAGAAGACGGGAGGGGAACTTCGACTAGGTCGGTTGCTCGATCACACAACCGTGGCCGAGTGGTTCAGTTGGTAACCTCTTGAACCTTTCTGGCCCAAAGTGGGGGTGAACCTCTTGGGACTGAAAACAAGTCCTGCAATTTAGAAGTAGAAATAGCGTAGTTATGGGAGAGTACACACAATAAAGAGGGAACCCTTCTCGCGTTGAACCGTGAAGTGAAGCACCTCAGGAGGACCGGTGTAGAGAAAAAACTCCTGTGGATGCCTTCCTCCTGTGCAACCCCGGCTGGCGCGCGAAACACTGCCGAAATATCTGGACTAGCGCGCAGAATATATGGGACGAAGTCACACACACCTCCTTGAAGAGACGTCCAGCGTGCGATTGCGGTCAATTACGGTTGGTGTAAGACGCCAGTTTTTCTGGTCGTCCCGCGTGTGTTTTGTTTCCTGTCGTGGCACTATTGCCTCGTTGTTCGAAGAACGTTTACCCGTGTACCTTACCAATTTTTGTTTAGTGTTACTCGCGTCGTTGCTTCCAGAGTGCTAGCGGGGAAAAGGGATTAACGTAGGGATGGACCGCATGGCGACCAACGTGGTCGTAGCGTGGAACCCTTCCTTAGTTTATGTTCGGGTTTCTGTCTGATGGTGGTGTTTTTTAGCGTGTAAGGGGGAGGTGGGCTTGCGGCACTATCGGGGATGGGTGAGACCGTCGGGTCTTGTCTGTCCCACTGCGCATTTCTAATGTTTTCGCTTGTAGATAGGAGGTCGGATTCAGATTCAACAAAACTAAAACTACCGAGAAGAGGGAGTAGCCTGCAAACACAGGAACGACAGTAAGTCTGTCCTGCTCTAGGTTGTCTGTCGTTTTTTGGTGAATGAATCGCGTGCGTGGGGTTGTCCGACACAATGTTTCTTGTACCGGAGCTACGATGAGACACGAAGAAGACAACGAAGAAGTAGGCCAGACCGTGATCCAAAAGAGACAGAGGAAGAGCAAACAGAATGGCTTCTCCCACCAAGAAGAAGGAAAACAGTCTAGAGAAATTTGATCCTCTACAAGAGGACACGCCAAATATCGTGAGGTTTACACGCGTCGCAATCCCTGAGGACCGTCATGACGACCCATCGTGTCGGTTAGTCTTGTCAGCTTGCGGTGCTATAGTTGATGTCTTGATCATAGGGGGCCGCAGCGCCTGCAACAGAGGCTTTTTCGGTACTCCGAAGGATGAGCATTCTCAGGACAGGGCACGTGCGGCCCCCCCGGGGGGGCGGAAAAAGTCGCGTTAATCTTCGAAACAATCCAAGAAGCCATTCGGCGGGTACCACGTCATGAGGAAGAGAGAACCGAAGTTCTGGACGTGTTACGCACCCCCAAACTTGAGTTGCATCTGTCGAGTATGCCGGTAGAAGAAGGGGTTCAAACCGACGCTCCTGTAGCGACAAGGGCTACTCTTGAATTAAACCATGTTTGACGTCAAGACTCAAAGCTGGGAAGGTTGGACGAGACTCTTGCCGTAGAGCGCACGCTCGCCAGATCAGCGATGGTTGTATCGTGCATAATGACATTCTCGAGTGACGAGAGCTGTCCACCTAGCCAGCGCTTGTGTCAGAGGGCTCGGACATGAAGGAGGGCAGTGCCACACCCTTTAATGGTGAATGCAGGCTAGCCTGTGGTCCTTCGATTTCCTTTGAGGCGGCAGGCCGTTGCAATCGATGAGAGATTGAGGGCGCCGTGTGTAACCTCTGACGGCCGGTAAATAACAGAAACGCGTCGATGTTTGGAGCAGGAAGGAGTGGCGCGAAGATCCCGCCGCACCTTTGTCGTAGCGTTAATCTTGCCTCCATATCCTGCACCCAATAGGACATGGAATCGTATCACAGCAAAACCCGAGTACTAAAAAATACAACGAAGGAGAGACAAACAAACGAGGAGCAATGCAATATCATCGAGCCCCTGGCAAATTGCAACGACGCGCTATTTCCAGGTCCAGGCGAGCCGGGATACACACCAACTCATGTTCTCCTTGCACATCTGCTCCACTAATCCCCTTGTATCCACATGATGGAACAACATCATACGGGTCCCCTGCAAAAATGCCAAACGCGTTCAAACCCGCGACACACATAGCACACCCCAGCTGACGGGCTGGGCAGATGGGTATACGAGATAGTCAGGAGATCTCGTGCCCATCCAAATAGATAGCCAGAAAAATAGGCTACAATGGCTGGAGATGAGGAAATGGGTCTCGCACCGCCGACCGACCGATCACATCCACCTGTTGATGTCTGAACTGAGCACTACTGGGAACACACCCGATGACGTATACACATACCGTATAGTACCACCGGGACGTACTACACGGGCAGCTATGCAGGCGCACCCACAAGCCATCCATCCAATGGATCGTGATGATGGTTGAGAGTCCGATCGGATGCTATTGCTCTCTTACCTGCTAACTGTCAACACCGCCTTCTATACCGGGGTATCGTCATCGTCAAATGCGGAGCGCCATTAGTATCCATACTCAAATCTTAATCCGGGCAGTTACAACGCACCGCTCGCGAAATATCACGGGCAGCGTGCTAACGACCCACTAAAAGAGCATGGTATCCAACCCCTTCGGAAGGATCCACAACATGAAGCAAAGTAAATCTTAAACAATTATATCCGTGCCACATTAGGAAGCGGCCAAAACATGAACGATTCGACAACCAAGGCTTCGAACGAAAATCATCGGCTTGTGGAGACACCGCCAACAACAGGCCTGAAAACTGCCAAAGTGGCATGCCATTGCAACAAGCACTCGACTCTGTACACCGCTCGCTCGTGTAAAGGCGTCGAGTCTATCTAAGATCGATACCTGACACCCGATGCAAGTTCAGCATCAAGAAACTGAATGCCGCGGTCAGATTTGTCCAACATCTTTGAAACATCCCGAGATCAGTGGGGCGTAAAACGAGGAATGCCCAAGCAAAGAATAGGGCCATTAGCCCGCACATCACGCCAATAAAAACAGAGAGCATGTCCTCAAACGAAACCGAAGGCTCCGCGTAAGTTCAAGATTAGACGCAATCCAGTGCGTGTTGGCGGGAGCAACAACGAACACATGCTGCCAACAGCATGCGGGGAGGGTCCGATGGTGACCAACAGCGGCATCACAAGCCGTGATCTCACTCAAACGTAGCACCAAACCCTACAACAACGTGGACGACACACGCCCGAAGAAAGACTCGACCTTACATACACCCACATGAACGGTGACACGGCACGGCTAAGGTCCAACACGAAGACAAAACCATCCAAACAAGGTGTGAGCAGAAACTTCCATTTGGAGGACAATCGACCGAGAAGGGGGCGGGGAAGGCCTACCAGCACAGATATCGGAACAACTTTAGAAACGCAACAGTGACACCGCCCTCTGCTATTTGTACGGGGAACACTCGCGGTGCATTGCGCTTCTTTCATCGCCGCCGCTCTCTGAGAATTCCACACACGTAAATTCACATTATGTTTCATGCCATGATCTAAACGTCAACCCAACTTCGGATCTATTGTTCTTCGCAACTCGTCACTCCGAAAGATGACCGAGCGCATTCATGCCAAGCACCCAAGCAGAAACGCAATAACCAACGTGTTTGCAGCAACTAGAGAGGTGTGAAGTTGAGATACCTTCCTCCTGCGTGCGTACATATGACAGACACTTTGCACCTTCCCTGTCCACGGGAGCTAGGCCAGGTTTTCTATTCAGAAATATCATCACATTGATTGCTCCATATGAACCATGGGCGCACGGTTGCCAAGAAGGGCACCAACTTCAGCTATCTCGTGCAGGAATAAGGTGGAGGTGTGTTCGCACACACACGACCCCCCCCCCCCTCTCCCTCTCGAACACCTCTGTTTCATTCAGATTGGCTAGCCTTGTCGCCCCGCTGCTGCCACTCTAGAATAGCAAAGTCGTGGTACAACACGAAAGGGTTCAATACTCATTCCTCGGGGTGAACACATGTTGATCGATGTGACACACGGGCTAGTGGTGCAGACAGAGCGACAAATTAGACCCAAAAGGGTGGTGGGTCACCACGTCAATGAAAGGGTGAGTGAGGTGTACGTCTACCCACATCACCGCCCGCTTCTTCATCATCCTTTCTATTATCGTCTGTGCCCTTTGGTCTTTCACATGTACAACAGCATTGCCATCGGAGGCGGCTCCCTGCCCTCCTTGAGGCACTTGAGCATGTTGACCAAGGACGCCATGCTTGGGCGGAGGTCACGGGGCTGGCAGAGGCACGCCTGCAGCCAACCGCACACCTTTCATGTATTGGAAGGACCAGCGGCAAAAAGCGCCAGCGTTAGAGGCGGAGGTTAGTTGAGGGCATCCACGGAGCGGGACAGGAAAACGGGGGCAGGGAATGTCCATGAGTTTACTTGTCGAGCCATTTTTTGTTCTAAGGGACCATCGCCATCGTACACACGTGGATACAGATGATCGTTCACAACCCTTTTGAACGATGTTCTGTTGGGTAGCCATGCCCCTTGCACCCTCACTAACAGCTCCCCCTAATACCTCATGCACTCTCCGAGTTTCGCACAAACACACTCACAGCATAGCGGTACGGTACCGACGCCGCGAGGTTCTCCGGCTGCATGATCTCCCTCCCGAAGGATCCATCACCAAGAGTCCTCGCCATCACTTCGAACTATTGTTTCAAATGTAGGGGATGATCGATCGATCCATCGATTTGTTGCAAAAGAGGGAATGTCTTCTCATCATTTCGAAACTTGTTGGAAACTTGCACCAAACGACACAAGACGCCATGTACGGCTAGGTTGCAGTCGCACTTGGACATAGGACAAAAGCAGGGTAGCAAACGATCTTAGAGCAAGAGTGGGTGGCCAGCATTGTCACCAGCAACATGAAACCTTCGCAGGCACGGGAAGGGGGTCATTGTAAGTTGGTTGACATGACAATAGCAACGGGTGTGCGTACATGTAGATAGCATGCGTGTGGAACCGAGAGACGTGGTATCATATAAATCCACACCGCACCCAACACCGAACAACAACAGGCAACTTGCGGATGACACCTGCGGGCAGACCAATTTAGTCAGAATTCGAGTTGGGTCGGTACTCTGCTTGGAGTTACGGGCTTGGTGATATTGACATATGTCCTACACATGGGTAATGGCGGTGTCACTGTTGTCTTGACGCTAAAAATCTAAAACTCGTTGTGACTCTCTATTCTGACCTCTTGTTCCCTACTCTTCAAGGCGCATGGCAACATAACTAGTACTGATACTGATGGCAAAGATATTTCATCTAGGTTTCAACGGGTTGTAATTCTACTTCATGTCTCTGGGCTATCCACAACACTGTATTCCGGTCACGAACAACCCGGTGCCTCGTGGAACTACCGACACTAATACGCGGTACTCTTAGGTATATCTGGGGTGTGGGTGACCGTTTGTCCTGCGTTCCTGCTGCCTGCATGTAGCTAGCGTGGGTCCGACTTCACATACCTGTAGGTCGAGGATGCCCGCAACGTTGCCACCCCCGAGATCAGCGAAGTCAGCTTTTTCGTCATCGGAGAGCAAGAACTGGGTAGTCGTGGTAGGGAAAAACAAAGATCGTTGCGGCAATGGTGCATGTTACGGCGACGAGCGAGGGACAGGACGGAGTAGCATGGACGCAACAGCGAGACTCAAGCTGAAAAGACACACCCATCCAGGCGGATCGGGATGACTGTTGTTCGTTATGTAGCAGCTTACGCCCCCACAATGTGGTATTGGTTGACATTTCATCGGCTGCAAAGGAATTGAAAGAGGGCGTGCCACGGGCATTGCAGAACGTAGATCTGCAGACAATACCCTGGTGCATGAACAACAACAAGCCATCGATTGGCTCTTAGACGGATCCACCGCCGCTACAACGCCTCCTGTGTACCGACTCCATTCTCCTGCCACTCACCCTGTGAACAAACATGTTTTGCTCCCACAAATCGGGTTGAATGAATACCTCCAACATCAGCACTCCGAACGAGAACACGTCGTTCTCCGGCCCGGCCTCCACAGCACTCCAGACGAGTTCGGAGGGGATGTACCCCGGCGTCCCCGTCCTCGACGGCGTCACTTCCCCTTTCTCTGCAAGAAAGAGATCGGACCCGTTATCCATGATTGGTCTTGTGTGTCAGTCGTGAACCTTGGGGAGCATCGTAATGTTGGTCTCCGGTGCCTTCGTATTGTCGTGCCCGTGACTATCCCTGTTTAGTCTCTTGGTGTCCAGCTGTTAGACTATTGTCACGATCAACGTCGATCGGTCGCATTGACCGGCATTCTGAGGGCTCCTATTTTGATATCAGGCACGAGTGGGTGGGAATACCGAGGATGACGCCTCTAGGCCAGTTCAGGCGAGAGTAACGTGTCACTCGCTACCGGGGAACGAAGGTCCCACACACACATCTCCGGAAGGTGGAAACACGCATGGCCGGCAATACCGGACTGCTTCTCCTTCCCAGGGTTCTTCACATACAAACTCTGTTGCTGGCGCCCTCTTGACGCAGACTACTGCAAGGGGCGTCGGGGGTAGGGACAAGGCCATTGAGACCGCAGCCCGGACATTTCAAGGCTTCGTGAGTCATATGGGCATCGATTGCGCGTGGTTGATGAGGTACACGCTGCTGCTGCTACACTGGTTCTGCCCGCCAAAACTTGAGCGCTGGATTGTTTTGAATGGTACAGTCTATTGTACTAGTGGGCAACAGCACGCACCGCACGTGAGCCCAAAGTCGGCCACCTTTCCCGACGCACTGCCGTCCTCATTCACCATCACCACGATGTTGGCGGCCTTGATGTCGCGGTGGACCATGTTGTGGTCGTGAATGTGCGCCAGGCCGCACGCAGCATCGTAGAGAATGCTGCACAAACAAACGGAAAAACGACAAGGCCAGACCGGGAAAATACGCTTTTCATCATCAAGAGCCAGAGTCTATCATCTCTGCTGACCGCGATTTTTCAGTTTCACCTTGGCAACATGCACCTCGCCGCACCTTCGTGCACCCTAGCGTGTTCATGTTCGATATCATGTCTGTGGTACTTCAAGCATGGTTGAGAGCACCCACAGATAAAATTCGTCATGTCAATCCTCGCCACTACCGACAACAATAACAACGATGCCGTGCTCCTGTTCACCCTGAACAGCAGAGGGTACTTCTTCTCCTCGAGCATCCAACAGCAAGCATAAATTGCACCAATATCATGCACTCACCCCATTTTGTGGGGCATTGACACGTCGGGGCTCTCCAGCACATCCACCATGTCGCAGTAGCCCAGCTCCATGAGGATGGGCATGGATGGGAGGGCGCTGTTGATGGCCAGCACCTTCGTGATGTTGGGGTGCATCCCCAGGCTTGGTTTGCATTGCGACAGAAAGAGAAGTCGCGCACAAAGGGGGGACGAACAGCGGACGACCAACCCAGTGCGTGAATGCTCGACCAAGGAAAGGGACGGGGGTCCGGGTCGGGAGGGTGTGTGCAGCTTGAGAATGATGAACTGCACGGGGAGAAACAAAGCCTAAGGCATGGTGAGCATCACAGCAGGACGAGCACACTCAGTTTGGTTAGCTGCAGACCAATCGTTCATAGGAAAAGCACGTCTTCGTGCCGAAGGATATCAGCCCCAAGAGCAGGTGGCTGTCGTGGTGCATTCAGAAATGGACATGTTTCACCATTTAGCTGTTCTCTACACAAAATTGGAAACATTTCTGGAGTCATACATCGGGATTCGCAAAGCTCTGCTTCAACGATACATTGATGCACGCCATGTTCAAGGGCGGCAACAACGGTGTCTCATATCGGGAAGAAAACGTATGACAAGTGAAGTCCAGTGGCACACCTCAGGAACGTGTCCATCTCGTTCCGCGCGGCAGATCGGTGCTCGTCTCCGGCCTCCTGAGGTTCGGGAGCGAAGGTGGTGACAAAGATCGGGGTGGAGGGACGAGGAGGGACGAGGAGAAGAGAAGGGGCACAAGCAGAGTGTGTGGACTTCAATCTTTTGACACTCCCGATCCCCACCAAAGGTCTTGAACTACCGAGCTGTGGTGCGCGACCCTAAAATTGAATGACAACAATCACACCAAGGCTAGCGACAGACGAAAAAAGCAAGACATGGACATTACTCAAGCCCCCTTTAGCATTGGTTGGCCAGCCTCGTGGTTATACCTCCGATAGTTCCTTCAGTGCCAGAGCCTCTCCCAGAGACTCGTGGTACACGCGGCTCACGCGGCCGTAGTAGCCGGCACCGATAACCCTCTCCCTGGACAGGTCGTCGTTCGAGTCAGTCGCGGACAGGTCGAGGTCGCAGCGGCGCGCGATGTAGATGTCGCGGACGGCCGTGGACATCAGCGGTGCGTTGCGGAAAATCTCGACCAGTCGGTTCGTCCTGGTCTGGGTTAAGTGCGGCTCCACCTCGTTTTCGTTCACTAGCTCAGGCATGGAGCCGTGCGAAGAAGGCATAGAGTAGTCCCCAACATTGCCGTCCTCGTCCTCCCCCCCCTCATCGTATTCCTGATCCTTCTCCTCGGCCCCCTCCTTTTCCTCCTCCTCCTGGTCACCATCTTCATTTTCATAGCTGTCCTCCGTGATGGTCGAGAGTGATGCTCCCCCTCCGCTACCCTCGGTGGAGGCTCCCTGGTCGTCATGACCGTACACCGACCCAGAGGACCGCTCAAGTTCTCCGTGCGTCACAGACCTCTCCAGTTGCCCCTCTCGCTCACCCGCCGCGATGCGTGACCCATGAAGGGCGTCCGCGAGGACATCATGGTTGACGGAATGTCCGCCCAGCTCGCCGCCGTCACGATCACCGCTTCTCTCACCGTCGCGGCTGTAAACACTGTTGTTGCTGCTATTGCCGCTGCTACCGTGGTGCAACACATCGAACTCCAACTGCGAGGAGTGTCTGGACGACTCTTTCCTCATTGCCATTGCTGGCGAGTTGGTTCCTGTCGACGGCTGTGCCTCCTCCGTGCTGAACCTCGAACCATTGCGGTCGGAGGGCAGAGAGCCCGCCTCCGCCTGAGCCGCCGTCGCCGCCGCCGAAATTTCCGATCCCAGACTTCCGCTGTCGGTGTCATCTGGGTGGTGCGTTCGAACGGTTGCCGACGTGTCGCAGCTAGACCTCTCAGAAGCCTTTTCACAAACAGGCGGAGCGACGGGGTCCAAGACGTGGGGGAGGAGAGCGAAGGCGAAAGTAGTCAATTCCCGCGATGAACTCGATGAAATCGAAGGGTACCAGCCGGGCACATACTGCATGAAAACGTGCGATTCGTATGCATATCAACCGTGGACGTTTTGTGGTCCTGCTCGCACTATAGGCAGCCCAACCATCGACATGCCAGTTTGTACCGCGCTCCTGACCATGTCGAAGATATTTGCAACATGATATGTGGCCAAGACGAGTGGGATGTGCTATTTTCCCAACAAACGACGCTGCAGTGGTCTCGACAACCATTGCTGTACACCTAACCCTTAATTGCCACACACGGAACACAAACAAAACATTTTCTGTGCACAAGGAGCAGAACGCTACGCGGTCCCACCGATTCCTTCTCCTCCCCACTCAGCGAGGAGTCGCCGGCGGCCCCGATAGCCTCTCTTGACTGGACACCCGAGCTCCCGGACTCGATATCAGACCTCCTAGACTCGATGTCTCCACGTGTCGATAGGAAGTCAGCGCCTGCTGACGCGACGGAATTGATGTCGGAGCCCTCAGGATTGACCACGTCGTCGCCCCTGGACTCGAGGTCGTCGTCCTCATCCACCGAACGGGCGTCGGCGGTGTCATGCCTCTCTTGTTGCTTCCAGTGGTATCTCCTCCTCGAAACCCACCTCCAGACGACTACGGCAGCGACGAAGACCACGGCCAAGGTGACCAACTCCTGTTGGACGTCAGCAACCATCGTGTTGACGGGCAGCGGGACCGGCCATCGACACAAAACCCTTGTTTTCGTCTACGTTTACACCGCATACATGCCATATGGGCCAAGCGACGCTACAGCAGTCTCTGTTTGGTTGATACCGAGTTTTCCTTGCTTCAAGATGCGGTAGCTTGCGCAGAATTACAGGTGACCAAACAATCGAAATTATCTACCATGGTGGTCCAAGTATTTAGAATCAGAGTCGAGCAGGAATGTGGGATCAGGACAGGGGGGGATTTGTGAAAATGGTGTATTTAAGGTATGGTCGCGTGTGAAAACACACCGCCGCGGCAAAGGAAGAAAGCATGGCTTCTACGTAGTCTATGTCGAAGCATGGGAACAGGGTATTCCTGAAGGACACAATCGTTCGGGAGTACTCTAAAGAGGATATGTCGAAATAACTCCAGTATTGAATTAGACGTGCTGGAAACTGGATTTGTAGCTAGTAATTAATTGTACAGACGTCGCGGCATTAGCAGTATTGTAGTCTATTGTGCCCAAGTTCCAATCAAAGTGGGCCCAGACCTCTCTGACCTGTGTTCTTGATTCGCCGATGCCCACCTGTCTCGTCTGGCGAGACCTACAGAGAGGACCCACGGGCACGACGCGCAGTGCAGAAGCAAAGGTAAGAACACTGGACGTTGTGCAGGCAAGAGCACTGGTAGAAGTTGTGTTGGTAGGGCTAACCCGCCAACATGAAGACCAGGCGCGCCTTTCAAATACATGCGTCTACTGCTGTAGCCTACCGGAGCAGTAAATTCGAACGCTGGAAGACAGCCGAGGATACCGATAGATATTTCACTGCTCACCCGACACCTCCAGCGTCTGCTCTCTGCCGTGAACCGCGCAGCGAACGTGTCGACTGCTGAGCGGTGATCGGAACAGGGGAGAGGGACAACAACACCGACGCGAAGCCGCAACGGTTGATACCTCATCATCATGCGACACAAAGCGGAGAGGGATGAGGTGCGAGGCCCGCATCATCTGTGGCGATGATTCATTAGCTCAAGGTGTGTAACCTAACCACCAGATTCCAAGAGGCCGGCCAGGTCTCCACGCCACATTCCCTGTCTCCCTGATAATCTCTCCCTGTCTCTCGCTGCCCTCTTAGGGCAACATCACACCTGCTGCTCCCGATACCTGATATCCTGATACAGACATGCTCCCATGCGGCGCAACCTCCTCTAAAAAGCGGCCTAACTTCCGGTCGATCTCTACTGATCTCCGATCTGGGTTTCGGAGATCTGGGTCGAGCATTCGAGTCGCCACAAAAATGTGTATAGCTCTTTTGCTGATTCCCACGTGCATCGCTCGCTACTGTGTACTCTTTGGCCTCTTTCGGACGCCCCTTTGACACGTCTGTGGGATGAAGAACCTCTTGGTGTTGCAGAGACGCACGACACTAACTAGACTGCTGTTTCGAAGGCGAACAAAATCGAGAATTGTGCCGGTTCATCAACAGCCTGAGTGCCTGTGGGTGTGTGGGTGTAAGGACACGAGATAACCTCGCCAGCATATGCATAGTTCGCGGGAAATCAGACCAAAACACGGGGGGGTGACCATGGATCAGAACCTTTATACGCGTGCTCCTGATACGCGTAAAAAAGTGCCTACATCTCAGAGTGCGGCCATAGAAGAAGAAAATGACTCGAAGCGCTTGTCGGGGCGCGAGCGGGTTCGTTGTGGAATTTCGCCGACGCTTAATCCACAAACAACTTACACGCACAGAAAGACTACCCATTCGAGATATACCCGCAGTCGAACGGGATGTGGTGGTCAGTATGACCGGGTATACAGAAGCCTGCGGCGTAAAACGCTTGACCCCTCCCTTCTTTGATCAAATTAAACAACCACCCGACTTGTGATGGCTCGAGAAGGACATGTACAAGGCCGCTTGGGGTACAACCTCCTACAACACCATGACGGTTGACCGATTGTTTTTCACCCGAAGGGGTTGGTGCTGCAGCAGGCAGGCAACGGTGTACCTACTTACTTTGTCAAACGATACATTTGTCGAACATAATGTGCCCCATGAAAGAGACTCAATATGCCACCGGCCACACCGCGGGCCTGTGTTTGTTCGCTGACTAGCAGCGACCCTCTCTGCTGTGCCGTTGCGAATGTTTTTCAAGCTGCGTCGGACTACATACTGTTGTAATATGGGACATGGCGCAATACGTTTCACGGATCGTTGCTACGGCGACGAGCTGTATGAATTCACAGCAAAAATTGGAACAGAGGACTGCACGCCTAGAAAAGGAGTGGCGTTGATTGAGCAGCAACACGCTGCCAGACGATCTTCCTCTGGGAGAGTGCAGTGTGGGGATACATAACTGTTCGTGGACATTCTCGAAGCGAGCAGCAGCATCGTTCCTTGCTACGATGTAGTACTACTGTACAAACAAAAACCTTCTAGCATGGCTGCGATTGGAGGAACTTCACTGGAGCGGTACTCAAGCAAGCACGAAGCAAGTCCCCATACGACTCGTACTATTGGACGCAGAGCCAGACACCAACGCCTTTCTTCGTGCCCACCTCAACAAGTCGTCCATCCCTCGCAAGCATGCCTGAGGTTACTACGATACTCTTCATGCCCGTCCCTCGCAAATGTCACGCTGGTAGCGGCTATTGCGAAGGAGACGCTGAAAATTGTGACAAGAGGTAAACGCGAAATTCACCACGAGCGTACCCGCGCGCTTGCTGTTGTGCCGAGACGTGTGATCGTTGGCCTGATCGTTGCTCGACCCGGAAAAACGCCTCTAAATCCGCAGATGATCTGAAAGCGACTTGCAGTTTTTGGCACTTACAATAGTTACACGTCAGGTTTCGACTACAACTTATCACCCTGCAGGTAGGTACGCCCACACGATTATTATCGCGTTACACACGATTTTCGAGTCGCCTTGTCTGTCGACAACCTACCCTCTCTCAAACTGGGGTTCTTTGCGTTCTCTCTCATACTGGTTGAGTACGACGCCTGGACACAATCAATCGCGGCGCGGTAATGTTTTCGTTCTTCCTCGTGGCGGTAATGTTGTATACTTCTATTCCTCAAGGAAGAGGAGAGATAGCAGATCGCCGCAATGACACACAACAAAGCGGCATGCACGCCCTTCGTTACGCTCTGATGGTGCGAGCTATTGGAAACGCAACAGCAAATTTCTCCACAATACTGCTGTAGAGGAGGTTCACATCCGATCCATTCCTCTCCTGGAGGATATCATTGACCAGTATCCTCTGGAGGAACTTAGGCACCCGCCACCTTCCGGAGGAATGCATGTCAGATACCTCCGGAGGAATATTTTCGGGCTTTTTCCTCAGAAGGAAATTACACTGCTATAACGCCTCGACGAAGCAAGAATGTCTTCCTCCGAGGGGATTCAAATTTCAGATTCCCCCTGGAGGATTGTGAAGTGTTGCCCCCGAGGAACTGTTCGACATTTTTCCTCTAGGGCAACCCGTTCGTTATGTAAGGCTCTGGAGGATGCCAAATCTGCTCCCGCTGAGGGAATCGTGCTTTCAAATCCTCGGAGGACACCAGTTGCCTACCCTCCGAGGAATACATCAGATATGCACCCCCCAGAGTAACGTTTCTTAGGCAATGCTCTGGAGGGTGCTGTATATCGTACCCTCGGGAGGATTTCTTTTTATATATCCTCGGAAGGGGCCGATTGTCTCCTCCCCTCCGAGCTTTGTTTGGGTTTTTCCCTCGGAGTATATCGTCCACAAATTCTCTAGAGGGTTAAATATCCTCCAGAGTGTCTCGAACCCTCTAGAGGATTATTTTTCCTCAGAGGAATATGGGTGGGTATACCTGTGAACTGCTGTGACCACTCCGGCCGTTGAGCCCCGGCACACCAGGAGAGACTCGGATATGTATATCGGCCAAATGAACAGGGGGCTCTTATTTTTCTTGGCGGGTAGTGCTGCACCTGCCCAGGGTGCAGCCAGTAGTGACAAGGGCACGCTTCGAGGGATTGTTCGGCTTTTTCTCCGTGTGAGTGCTGTTGACCTCTCTCTGCCTTTCAAGATATGTAGTCGATGGTCACCGCCGAAGCTTCTCCAAGGTAGATATTCCTCGTCGCGACTGCCGTAAGCTCGCCCCCCCCCCCCCCCCCTCAACACCATGTTTGTCAGCAGGGGTCCGAACAAGATGCTCCAACGTGGCGGGGGAAGCTTGTACCTAACCTCCGCATTGAACATGGGGGGGAAGGCACCCTGGCTTCTTATCGTTACGGTTTGGCTCTCTGGTAAAGGAAATATATGAAAGGATGTGGAGATAATCACCGAACGGGAATACGCAAAACCCACTGGCTCTGTCGACCTGAGCGATGGGACAAAGCGAGAGCAAACTACCGTTGCCTGAGAGCTTCAAATTCAAACCATTGTATTGGGGCCCCTTGAGATCCCGCAGCATTAAAAGCACATAACCATAACGTCTAAAAAATCACCAATCAATGCCGCCACCGCAACCCCTCAATCTGTACAACAATACTTTGTACCAGTACCGAATTGGCCAATGCATAAGGTACTCAAAACACGGAAATTTGCGAATGGGCACAAACGTCCGAGTGCACGACACGCAACCCAAGACTGGCGACACGTAGAGAGGTGGTAATTCAGACCAGCACCGTCAAGACAAAGCGTTGTCGACCTCCAAACTCCACATTGCCCCTTTTCTTCCCTTCCCCGGCTTCCCTCTCCGGGCCGGATGTCAGACACACACACATCAAAGTCCCTAGACAGGAAGGACCCTTGAATGCTACATCAATATATAGTACCGATTTTCGTACACGAGAATTTGTTGTGTGAGTGCGATACAAGATTTCTACCCTCGCATAGCTTGACACAATAAATGATACTGGAAAAGGGGGCCCAGCCGAAGGGAAAATGGGCGAAGGGGGGAGGAGGGGGGTGGGGTGGGGGTTAGAGCAACACCCACAATGCGTACTCGGCAGCAAAACGAAATAACCTTTAGGTGGTAGGCACAGACTTCGTACCCGCCCACACCCGCGTTCTGGTTGCCTATTAAATACCCCCCTCCTCTCCCCCTGCCC